AAACCAACCCCATACCTCAGCTCACAATTCAACTTCCACGGCCAACCAAGACGTGGTGACAGCTCAGCTTGCTGCCATGCAGCAGCAGTTTGGTGTTTTTCAGTTGGTACTGGCTCAGCTTCTAGCTAGAAATAATCCTGGTGATCCTCTCATTAATTTACTAAACCCTGCTCAACAACCCCCAGCTCCACAACAAAATCCTCAACCGGTTCAATATGCTCCCACTGTTAGCGAATCTCAGGGTCAATCCCACATAGCACCCGCTCAACAACCCATCCCTGATGATGTTACTCGCCGTCTCGATAGCCTGGAGAAGCTAGTAGCCGAACACCGAGGTGCCCCACCCCCACATCATGTTGCTGATTCTATACCTCACCCTCTGAATACCAACATTACGCTGGAACCCTATCCCATTGGCTTCAAAATACCACAACTGGAGACTTATGATGGGACGAAGGATCCCGATGATCACCTGCATGCTTTCTACTCTTGTATGCAAGCTCAGAACGCCTCTGACGCATTAATGTGCAAAATCTTCCCCTCTACTCTGCGAGGTAATGCTCGAACTTGGTATTATAGTCTACCTCCGAGGTCAATTAGCTCTTACACAGAAATGGCATCTGCCTTTGCCACTAAGTTTTCCAGTAGAAGGTTGATTAGGAAAACTACTACTGAATTGATGCGAGTTAAACAGAGGGACGGAGAGTCTCTGAAGAACTACATGAGCAGGTTTAATGATGCGTTGGAGGTTAGTTCCTTCGACCAAGCTGTGGGTATTGCAGCTGTAATCTCTGGTCTCAAGCATGATAGGTTCAGAGATAGTTTGATCAAACATGCTACCACCACCTTTAGCGAGGTGAACGATAGATCTCTGAAATTCATAACTGCCGAGGAATACGCCCTAGCGCAAAATCCACCTTCCTCTAAGAACCAGAACCCAGAATGGAGAGATGACAACCTGAGCCGAAAAAGGATGAGAATGGCGCAAAACCGAGGTCCAGTGTTGACCTCCCCACCGAGATTCGGAAGGCCGAACTCCACACCTCCACAACAATCTGCAGGTAAACCTCCAGCTAATTGGACTCCATTTAATTTGCCGAGGTCACAAATTTTTATGCATATCAAAAATAAGATGGACTTGAGACGTCCTGACCCAATGCGAACTGCTGCTGCTAGTCGAGACCATACCAGATATTGTGATTTTCACCAGGATCATGGCCATACTACAGAGCAGTGTAACAGTTTAAAGTCCGAACTGGAAAGTTTAGCTCAGAAGGGAATGCTGAATGAGTATGTACAGCGAGCTGAACAGCTGAGGTTTGTCAGAGAACAGAGGCCGCAGCCTCAAGGAGCCCGCAATCCCCCAAATAGGCAAGGTGTGGGATATCAACAAACCCCACCTCCACTCCCACCACCAGCTAGAATCATACATATGATTACGGGAGGCCTTGAAGCAGGTGGACTGAGCTCTAAGCAGCGAAAGCTGTATGTTAGGGAAGTTAAACATCAAAACCGAGCTTAGAAGCGGAAGATTGACGATGCTGAATGGAAGAATCAACCAATTACTTTCACATCTGCTGATCTCGATACAGTTGTTACACCTCACAATGATCCTTTGGTCACTTCTGTTATGATTAACAACTGTGAAGTACAACGTGTCCTTGTTGACACCGGGAGTGCACCAGACATCATGTACTTCCATTGTTTCGAGAGTTTGGGACTAGATCCAGCATTGTTGCAAAAGTATGATGGTCATATCTATGGTTTCAATAACCAACCTGTTCCAGTAGAAGGAGTTCTTACCCTCAATGTGGCTTTTGGGAGGGGTAGAACCTATGTGACCCCGTCGGTCCGATTTCTTGTAGTCAAGATGGCGTCCTCCTTCAACATTGTTATTGGCCGACCCACGCTGACTGAAATCCGAGCTGTGGTTTCCCAGTCTCACCTCTGTATGAAGTTCCCAACTCCCATGGGAATAGCAACACTACGAGGAAACCAAGAGGTGGCCAGGCATTGTTATATCACCTCGGTAACACAACCCATGAAGGGTAAAACTCAAACACTTGAAGCCATTCCCCAGCAAATTTCTGATAATCAGCAAATTATGGGTGTTGAGATCGTAGATAATCGACCGGAAAATGAAACCAGAGCTGCTCCGGTTGAAGATGTTGAAGAAGTACTTATTGATGACAGAGATCCGAGCCGAAAAATGCAGATCGGAACTAGATTGAACCCAGAGGAAAAAGCAGAGCTCATAGCTTTTCTTCGAGCTAATAATGATGTATTCACATGGACTTCGGCAAATATGCCAGGAATTCCAAATTCAGTCTCTCAACATAAGCTCAGCACCAATCCATCGAAAAAACCAGTGGCCCAGAAGCGGCGTCTCTTCGGGGGTGAGAGGCTTTAGGCTATTAAAGAAGAAGTAACGAAGCTCTTACAGGCTGGTTTTGTCAGGAAAGTCGATTACTATGAATGGGTGGCTAACCCAGTTCTGGTGAAGAAGGCAAATGGCAAATGGCGAATGTGTATTGATTACACAAATCTTAACAACGCCTGCCCTAAGGATTGCTATCCAATGCCGAGCATTGACAAACTAGTTGAAGCGGCTTCATGCAATGAGAGGTTAAGCCTCTTGGACGCATATTCGGGGTATCACCAGGTGCCAATGGCTCCAGAAGACGAAGAGAAAACCGCGTTCTATACTGGCGATGAAATTTATTGTTACGTCATGATGCTGGTTTAGCTTGAAGAATGCAGGTGCTACTTATCAAAAAATGGTAACCATTGTCTTCCACGCCCAGATTGGCAAGAACCTGGAGGTATATGTCGACGACATTGTGGTAAAGAGCTTAAAAGCAGAAGACCATCTCACCGACCTCGACGAAACCTTTAACAACCTTAGAAAGAACAGGATGCGGCTAAACCCAGCCAAATGCATCTTCAAAGTGGAGTCTGGAAAATTTCTAGGTTTCATGGTGTCCCGAAGGGGAATTGAGGTCAATCCAGAGAAGATCAGAGCAATTGCCGAGATGGAACCGCCGAAATCAGTGAAGGATATACAAAGGTTGACTGGGAGGGTGGCAGCTCTGCATCGGTTCATATCGAAGTCAGCAGATAAATGTCTGCCATTTTTCAAAATTATGAGGTTAGCCGCCCAGAAAGATGAGTCAGGGAAGCAAAAGAAGTTCGAATGGAGCCGGGAATGCCAAGCTGCATTTGAAGAGCTGAAGTCTTACCTTAGCTCACCGCCTCTGTTGACTAAGGCTGTAGATGGCGAACTTCTTTACTTGTACCTGGGGATTGCAGATGAGGGCATTAGTTCAGTTCTGGTAAGAGAAGAAGCTAGGCAGCAGAAACCAATTTATTATATCAGCAGTGTGCTGCACGGAGCAGAGCTAAGATATCCTATAGCTAAGAAAGCGGCATTAGCAGTTGTCACTTCGGCCAGGAAGTTAAGGCCATATTTCCAGTCACACCCAATTATAGTTCTCACCGATCAACCTCTCAGGCAGATTTTGTAGAAACCAGAGTGCTCTGGAAGATTAATTAAGTGGGCAGTAGAATTGGGAGAGTTTGAGATAACATTCCAGCAGAGATCGGCCATTCGAGCTCAGGCATTAGCAGATTTCATTGTCGAATGCACTCCATGTCCTTCAACCTCTAATCCAGAGCCCAACGACTGGACCTTATATGTTGACGGAGCATCTAGTAGCAAGGGTTCAGGGGCTGGCGCTCTTTTGATTGGTCCAGAGGGATACCGAAGTGAACATGCCCTGAAGTTCAATTTCGATGTAACAAATAACATGGCTGAATATGAAGCTCTACTACTTGGTCTACAACTCGCACTAGAATTGAAAATCAGTGCAATTCAAGTATATAGCGACTCTCAGCTGGTGGTGAATCAAATCAACTCTGTTTGCGAAGTCGTCGATCCTGTGATGGTAAAGTATGTAGCCTTGGTGGCCAAGCTGAAGTGCAAATTTCAGAAATTCTGTCTGAGTAAAATTCCCCGAGCTGAGAATGAACAGGCAGATTCACTCTCCAAGTTTGCCTCTGATAGCTCTTTAAGCTCCAGATCCGTTTTTGTAGAGGTCTTAGATGAACCAAGCTTCACGAAGCCTCGGGTGATGGAGATTAGCACAAACCCTGACACGCCGAACTGGACTGATTCAATTGTCTCCTTCTTACGAGATGGGATAGTGCCTGAGGATAGACAGGAGGCAATGAAATTAAGGAAGACAGCATCTCGATATACACTTGTTGATGAAGTCCTGTATAAGAGATCTTTCTCATTTCCTCTTCTACGATGTTTAAACCCCTATGAAGCTGAATACGCACTTCGAGAGGTACATGAAGGTGTCTGTGGGAGCCACGTCGGTGCTAGAACCCTGGCTCACAAAGTCTTAAGACAAGGATACTACTGGCCAAACATGTACAAAGATGCCACTTACTTTGTTCAGAAATGCCTGAAATGTCAATTCTTCGCACACCTGACTCATCAACCAGCAGAAGAGCTCACGAACTTGGTAGCGCCGTGGCCATTCGCTCAGTAGGGACTGGATCTTTTAGGCCCATTTGTGAAAGGGGTTGGTGGTGTAACCCATCTGATTGTTGGTGTAGATTATTTCACGAAGTGGGTTGAAGCTCGGTCTTTATCTAGTCTTACCTCTAAGAAGGTCGAAGATTTTGTCTTCAGTTCGATCATCTGCAGATATGGGATCCCGAATCAGATTGTGGCCGACAATGGAACTCAGTTCAATTGCTCATCATTCCGGGATTTCTGTTCCAGTTATGGGATCAAGTTACAGTTCACCTCCATTTACCATCTGGAGTCCAATGGCATGGTGGAATCTGTTAACAAATGCATTTTGGAAGGTATAAGGCCGAGATTGGAGCAGCATAAGGCCAAGTGGGCAGACGAGCTCAACAACGTCCTCTGGGCATACAGAACCACGAGCCGAACTGCCACAGGTACCCTTTTCAACCAAGTTTATTTGATTAATTTCTATAGTATTTCACTTCTTCTGCCATCCTTAGAGCAAATATGCATAATGCATAAAACACATTCTAAAGTTATAATTAACTGAAATAGGTGAAACACCCTACCACCTGGCCTTTGGTACCGAAGCAGTCATTCCTGTTGAGATAGGAGTCCCAAGCTTCCGGGTCACCCATTTCAATGAAGAACGAAATGGACAACTGCTTCGGGAAAACCTTGATCTGCTTGCCGAAGTCAGAGAAGAAGCTCGGCCTCGAACTCTTGTATACAAGCAGAAGCTAGCCAACTTTTACAATAAACAGGTCCGCCCTCGCACATTCAAAATAGGAGACCTTGTTCTCAGAAAAGCTGGCTTAACGGGGTTTGAAACTCGTTTTGGAAAACTTGCCCCAAATTGGGAAGGTCCTTATGCCGTGGCCGAAGTACCACATCCTGGTGCCTATATTCTCCAAGACGCTGAAGGAAAAAGAGTTCCTAGAGTCTGGAATGCCAATAATTTGAAAAAATTTTACCCCTGATGAAATTCTTCCAAGCAATCTATGTCTTACTGTTCTTTATGCTTCTCACTCCGTGTTTGTTAAGATTGATTTTATCTTTTTTTCATGTATCCGAGGTCAATCAGTACTTACACCTCACTTCTGACTAATAAAAGTCACTTCCCATGTGAAGTACTTTATTTCCTTTTAAGTTCGTTCACAATGATGTGCTCATTCCTAATCTACATGGAAGTTATTTACTTCTTTTTACTTTGTCTGAAGTGACTTACTTCCCCTTAGTCCATTTGTGAAATGGTTGCCCTTCTTCCAAATCACAATCTCAGTTCTTTTACTAATAAAAAATAATACCAAAAATGTAAAACCAATATAAACAAACACATAATTTCAAACATAAATTTTCATTTCAATTAAAATAACAATTACAAGCTATAAATGTCTTTACAAAAAATTGAAAAATAACATTAGTTCTCTGCTGGATGAGGTGGCACCATTGGCTCCTGTTTAGATGGAAGAGGTGGCTGTCTTGGCTGCTGCTCATCTAGTAGAGGAGGCTGCTCATCGTCAGAGGGAACTGGATGAATCTCCACTTCTGGAACTGGTTGGCTCTCACCCACTTCAATTCCCTCCACTCCTGCCTCCACCTCGTCTTCCTCTACCTCTGCCTCTTCTTCCTCCACTGCCATGAACTCAAAGTCGAACTGGAGAGGGAAAACAACACGTCCGTGTGCATCATCCTCCCACCTCAGTTTAATCTGAGGACGGAAGTCTGCTGACATGCTCTCCCCATCTTCCTCCACTCCTTCTTCTTGCGCTCCGAAGGTGATCTTTGTAATATCCACTTCGGGATATTCTGCCTTCACCTTCTTCTTGCAGTCCATGAACGCGATGATGGCAGTAAGCAGCCGGTATAGGTTGACGATGTTGTCAAACGAGCTGGAGCTGATGAAGTTGCTGATGTGCTCCTTCATTCCATTGTGCACCAAGGTCTGCACGTTCCCCTTCAGCTCCAGGAAAGCCTCCTTCGTCAGCTTCAGTTCTTGCGCCTGAGCCTCACGCTCGCTTTCAGAGATCTTTCGTTTGGTCTCTTCGAAGCCGAGCTTGGTGCTCAGGGAAGACCTCTCCTGTTCCAACTGCTTCATAGTTGGAACCACCTCGTCCAGCGACTCTTGCAGATCTTTGTTTTTCTTCTCCAGTTCCTCCTTCTCCTTATGCAGCTGGTCACACTGCCTCTGCAAGAGTGCACGCTCCTTGACACTATCCCTAAACTCCCGGGCTAGACCATTCACCCAGCTCGCGCTCTGCAAATCAAAGCAGAAATTCAAAGAGAAAGAAGAGGAGAACAAACAGAATAAATAAACAACAACACTACTTTAACGTACCTCAAGGACGTGCTTCACAACGGATGCTCCCCCGTACCTTAGAGCCTTCTCCCGCGCGTTGTGCTAGTCCACTTCAGGGAAGGTGCTGTTGATGAACCACCTAGCCCCCATTACGTTCTTCGCCTCGAACAGGCTGCTCTGAGACACCACAAGGGAAACAGGGCCCTTCCCCTTCCCAGGAGCCCATACCTCAGCCCCCTCCTCCAACTGTCTGAGCTCGGGGTCCAGCTCAACAGGAAGAGGCTGAGGTACGAACTCAGGAACCCCATTCCCCTCTTCCTCCTCCACCACTTTTTGCTTCTTTTGCAGTGCCCTCCTCTCCTCCCAACCCTTCCTCTTTAGCGCTGGCACCTCCTCTTCCGTCTCAGCTGAAGCCGCGGGAACTACCTCTTTCCCGGTCCTCCCCTCATCCACTTTCTTGGTTGAAGTCTTTGACTTCTTCCTTGGCTTCTTGGGGATGGGCGCTCCTCCAGTAGTGTTCAAAAACTGGTCCATTTCAGCTGCAAAGCAAGAAACACAATATTAGTCATAATTTTATATTCTACAATTAACGCTACAGTGCATGATAAACAAACCTTCACTCAGGGCGCTTGGCCCATAGAGCTCAGCAGCCTCTATGCATGCTGCGCTGGTGAGGTCCATGATATTCAATTCCTCCCCCCTCTTCCTCACCAACTTCCTCACTTCTTCCTCCTCATCCTCATTTAAACTAAACCTATTCTGGTTGGCCCTTTTGGCCTTCCAGGAGGCTAACGCCCTCACCTCGGCATCCCCCTTACCCCACTCCGTGTCATCAACAAAAAAGAATTTTTCCTTCCATCCCTTAATGGATGAAGGACCCGCAGTAAATAAAATCCTACTCTCTTTCTTAGCTACCCTAGGGGTGAAATAATACCACCCCTTATCCCTCCTACTTCCCCCCTTCAAAACAAAAAAATACTTAAACATATTTACAGTTGGCACAATGATCCTCTAAGCTCAGCAATAAACTAAAAGACCTATTATTACCCTCATTGCGTTAGGGACCAACTGTGTCAACCCTATGTTGTAATATAACAGTAAACCTACTAGCAACTCGGGAATTGGAAACTTAAGCCCAGCATACAAATAATGGGAGTATACGGGCATCCAATGATCCCGAGGAGCAGAACATGCCCTCTCCTCTACTCCAGCTGGCCTAACTAGTACCCGAGAAGAGATCTCGTACGTTTCTACTAAGTGACATAGGTCCTCCCTGGTCCTTAGTTCAGATCGGTACTGCTTCACTTCCTCCACTATCTCTGCATTCCTATCATAACCTCTTTCCCCATTACCTTCTACTTATACTATGGTGAAGGGTATGTCATCTACCTCAACCCCTCCTCCCTCATTCCTCCCCACCTCTACCACCTCTCCTCCCCTAACTTCCACCACCTCATCTCCTCTCACCCCCTCCACCGTTTTCTCCGAACTAGACGAAGATGGACTACTCTCAGTGTCCATGCCCCCGTAGTCCAAGGGCTCCACCTCACTCCCTACTACACTTCCTGTCCTTTCTGAAGACATTTTCTCAAACTCTGCACGAGGTAGGGGGGAGGAAGGAAGTCAGGACCCATAAAAAAAAAAAAAAA